ATTCTTGAGCAGTGAAGTTACATTGTCATTTGTATGTGTGTGTCTGTGTGCATTCATTGGTGTATTTTTTATATTCTCTTAAGTACATAGAAACACACACATCATTTTTTCCATTGTTTATCAAAGTGTGTGTGCTTATCTTTTATTAATTTTGAAGCCTCTCTTGTCTATCTGCATGTTTCCGCATGTTTCGCTCAGTATAAGCATTTTTTTTGTTATTGTATGCTCAATTATAAGTCTCATGTTTATAGCATTATTCTTCATTATGCTTGCTTCTGATTTAATCTTCAATATGGGGGAGGGGAGGGGGTCTTTAGAAAAAGCAAGCAGCAAATGTTCTTTATTTCCAGTTAGTGTTTTGCCTTCTGTTGAAATCTCTCTCTTTTTTTTTTAATTGACACTTTTTCTACACATTCTATTTTATGACCTGTATTATAATCTTTGAATTTCAATAAATTTATATTAATATTGATTGTTTTGCTTTATATTGTATTTGCTTATAAGAATGTAATGTCTCTTATGCAATTGTTGTGTCACATTTGTGCATGTACACATTTTATTTTCCAGGGCACAAGCAGTGAACTTTATTCAAGAACTAGTAGTAAAAAACAAAATAGAAGCATTACTTCACACATGTGTACAACAGCTGATCATACTTGATGCCATACTTAAAAAAACAAAATAGAAGCATTGCTTGACACATGTGTACGACAGCTGATCATACTTGATGCTACACTTTAAAAAACAAAATAGAAGCATTGCTTGACACATGTGTACAACAGCTGATCATACTTGATGCCATACTTTAAAAAACAAAATAGAAGCATTGCTTGACACATGTGTACGACAGCTGATCATACTTGATGCCATACTTTAAAAAACAAAATAGAAGCATTGCTTGACACATGTGTACGACAGCTGATCATACTTGATGCCATACTTTAAAAAACAAAATAGAAGCATTGCTTGACACATGTGTACGACAGCTGATCATACTTGATGCCATACTTAAAAAAACAAAATAGAAGCATTGCTTGACACATGTGTACGACAGCTGATCATACTTGATGCCATACTTTAAAAAACAAAATATAAGCATTGCTTGACACATGTGTACGACAGCTGATCATACTTGATGCCATACTTAAAAAAACAAAATAGAAGCATTGCTTGACACATGTGTACAACAGCTGATCATACTTGATGCCATACTTTAAAAAACAAAATAGAAGCATTGCTTGACACATGTGTACGACAGCTGATCATACCTGATGCCATACTTTAAAAAACAAAATAGAAGCATTGCTTGACACATGTGTACGACAGCTGATCATACTTGATGCCATACTTTAAAAAACACAAGAGCCATCAGATCAAAGAAATACAATGTCCTGGATAGCAATAGGCTTAAAAAGCATGCCCAGAAAGGTAGATACAAGCATGCCCAGAAAGGTAGATACAAGCATGCTCAGAAAGGTAGATACAAGCATGCTCAGAAAGGTAGATACAAGCATGCTCAGAAAGGTAGATACAAGCATGCTCAGAAAGGTAAATACAAGCATGCTCAGAAAGGTAGATACAAGCATGCTCAGAAAGGTAGATACAAGCATGCTCAGAAAGGTAGATACAAGCATGCCCAGAAAGGTAAATACAAGCATGCTCAGAAAGGTAGATACAAGCATGCTCAGAAAGGTAGATACAAGCATGCACAGAAAGGTAGATACAAGCATGCACAGAAAGGTAGATACAAGCATGCTCAGAAAGGTAGAAACAAGCATGCACAGAAAGGTAGATACAAGCATGCTCAGAAAGGTAGATACAAGCATGCCCAGAAAGGTAGATACAAGCATGCTCAGAAAGGTAGATACAAGCATGCCCAGAAAGGTAGATACAAGCATGCCCAGAAAGGTAGATACAAGGATGCCCAGAAAGGTAGATACAAGCATGCTTAGAAAGGTAGATACAAGCATGCCCAGAAAGGTAGATACAAGCATGCACAGAAAGGTAGATACAAGCATGCTCAGAAAGGTAGATACAAGAATGCCCAGATAGGTAGATACAAGCATGCCCAGAAAGGTAGATACAAGCATGCCCAGAAAGGTAGATACAAGCATGCCCAGAAAGGTAGATACAAGCATGCACAGAAAGGTAGATACAAGCATGCTCAGAAAGGTAGATACAAGCATGCCCAGATAGGTAGATACAAGCATGCCCAGAAGGGTAGATACAAGCATGCCCAGAAAGGTAGATACAAGCATGCCCAGAAAGGTAGATACAAGCATGCCCAGAAAGGTAGATACAAGCATGCTCAGAAAGGTAGATACAAGCATGCACAGAAAGGTAGATACAAGCATGCCCAGAAAGGTAGATACAAGTATGCACAGAAAGGTAGATACAAGCATGCCCAGAAAGGTAGATACAAGCATGCCCAGAAAGGTAGATACAAGCATGCACAGAAAGGTAGATACAAGCATGCACAGAAAGGTAGATACAAGCATGCACAGAAAGGTAGATACAAGCATCGTTTCAGAGGTTCCCCGTAGTTAATACCTGTTGGATATTTTTTCAATGGGCAAGCCGATGTATGGTGAAAGGAACAGGCAGGCAGATTGGCTGGTACTGTACAACTGGACAGTGAATTGATGCGTGACAAGCTAGGTCTGGTCAAGCGAGCAATGCGGAAGCACCAATAGACTATTACAGTGTGGAGAGAATGGTGCACTGGGGAGTGACCAGGAGGTTTGGCTGACCGTCTGCACTCAGAGCAAAGTTCAGACAGATAAATAATCAAACTGCTACTGCTACCATCGCAAAGAGAACTCTTCATTGGCTGCTGAAAATGAGGGAGGATCATATATGGGAATGTTCCGACTGCTGTGATATTAGTTCTTGACTAAACTCAACAACTACAATGTCTGAAATACTGTTTCACTAACATTAATAAAATATTTAAAGTACTGTTTCACTAACATTGATAAAACTCAACAACAACAAAAAAATCATTTCAGCTTTTATGTAATCTCTCAGCCCTCTTTGGGACGCAATTTTTCTTTTTTTTTAAACCACTACATCTTCTCACTGACAACATATACCACTACACCTTCTCACTGACAACATATACCACTACATCTCCTCACTGACAACATATACCACTACATCTTCTCACTGACAACAAATACCACTACATCTTCTCACTGAAAACATATACCACTACATCTTCTCTATGACAACATATACCACTTCATCTTCTCATTAACAACATATACCACTACATCTTCTCACTGACAACATATACCACTACACCTTCTCATTGACAACATATACCACCACACCTTCTCACTGACAACATATACCACTACATCTTCTCACTGACAACATATACCACTACACCTTCTCATTGACAACATATACCACCACACCTTCTCACTGACAACATATACCACCACACCTTTTCACTGACAACATATACAACTACACCTTTTCACTGACAACATATACCACCACATCTTCTCACTGACAACATATACCACCACACCTTTTCACTGACAACATATACAACTACACCTTTTCACTGACAACATATACCACCACATCTTCTCACTGACAACATATACCACCACATCTTCTCACTGACAACATATACCACTACATCTTCTCACTGACAACATATACCACCACATCTTCTCACTGACAACATATACCACCACATCTTCTCACTGACAACATATACCACCACATCTTCTCACTGACAACATATACCACCACATCTTCTCACTGACAACATATACCACCACATCTTCTCACTGACAACATATACCACCACATCTTCTCACTGACAACATATACCACCACATCTTCTCACTGACAACATATACCACCACATCTTCTCACTGACAACATATACCACCACATCTTCTCACCGACAACATATACCACTACATCTTCTCACTGACAACATATACCACTACATCTTCTCACTGACAACATATACCACTACATCTTCTCACTGACAACATATACCACTATATCTTCTCTATGACAACATATACCACTACATCTTCTCTATGACAACATATACCACTACATCTTCTCTATGACAACATATACCACTACATCTTCTCTATGACAACATATACCACTACATCTTCTCACTGACAACATATACCACTACATCTTCTCTATGACAACATATACCACTACATCTTCTCACTGACAACATATACCACTACATCTTCTCACTGACAACATATACCACTACATCTTCTCACTGACAACATATACCACTAGATCTTCTCTATGACAACATATACCACTACATCTTCTCTATGACAACATATACCACTACATCTTCTCTATGACAACATATACCACTACATCTTCTCACTAACAACATATACCACTTTATCTTCTCACTGACAACATATACCACTACATCTTCTCACTGACAACATATACCACTACATCTTCTCACTGACAACATATACAACTACACCTTCTCACTGACAACATATACCACTACATCTTCTCACTGACAACATATACCACTACATCTTCTCACTGACAACATATACCACTACATCTTCTCACTGACAACATATACCACTACATCTTCTCACTGACAACATATACCACTACATCTTCTCACTGACAACATATACAACTACACCTTCTCACTGACAAAATATACCACTAGATCTTCTCACTGACAACATATACCACCACATCTTCTCACTGACAACAAATACCACTTCATCTTCTCACTGAAAACATATACCACTACATCTTCTCTATGACAACATATACCACTAGATCTTCTCACTGACAACATATACCACTACATCCTCTTACTGACAAGATATACCACTACATCTTCTCTATGACAACATATACCCCTACATCTTCTCAATGACAACATATACCGCTACATCCCCTTACTAACATCATATACCACTACATCTTGTAACTGACAACATATACTACCAAATCTTCTCACTGACAACATGTATCACGATTTATTTTTAACAAACACTACAATTTCTCACCAACAACAGAACACTACCATTTCTCACCAACAACAGAACACTACAATTTCTCACCAACAACAGAACACTACAATTTCTCACCAACAACAGAACACAACAATTTCTCACCAACAACAGAACACTACAATTTCTCACCAACAACAGAACACTACAATTTCTCACCAACAACAGAACACTACAATTTCTCACCATCAACAGAACACTACAATTTCTCACCAACAACAGAACACTACAATTTCTCACCAGCAACAGAACATTACAATTTCTCACCAACAGAACACTACAATTTCTCACCAACAACAGAACATTACAATTTCTCACTAACAACAGAACACAACAATTTCACACCAACAACAGAACACAATAATTTCTCACCAACAACAGAACACTACAATTTCTCACCAACAACAGAACACTATAATTTCTCACCAACAACAAAACACTACAATTTCTCACCAACAACAGAGCACTACATTTTCTCACCAACAACAGAACACTACGATTTCTCACCAACAACAGAACACTACAATTTCTCACCAACAACAGAACACTACAATTTCTCACAAACAACAGAACACTACAATTTCTCACCAACAACAGAACACTACAATTTCTCACCAACAACAGAACACTACGATTTCTCACCAACAACAGAACACTACAATTTCTCACCAACAACAGAACACTACAATTTCTCACCAACAACAAAACACTACAATTTCTCACCAACAACAGAACACTACAATTTCTCACCAACAACAGAACACTACAATTTCTCACCAACAACAGAACACTACAATTTCTCACCAACAACAAATACTACAACTTCTCACTAACAATCATTACAGATGTAGGTGTCTTAAATCCGTTTCCCAACGATTGCGTCTTTTTGGCGCCAAAGCTTCTGAGTGAATCCTCGTCCTGCTCAAATCCTGGGTTGATGGCTGCATAGCGCGAACCAGTGCGGTTTTCCTGCAAAACTGGGCCCCAGTCTGGAAGCGGCTTGATGCACCCAGGCTGGAGGGAACAAGAAAGGAAGAAAAGTGTACAAACGGCCAAGTAAAAGCACCCAGGCTGGAGGGAACAGGAAAGGAAGAAAAGACTACGAAAAAGTCCCGCCCCCCCCCCTCCCACCCACACAAAAAACGCAGGCCTCCCCGGTCCTGACACTGGTATTAATGTCTGATCTTCTCCAGGGTTTGCCTTTCATGATTTCTGATTTAAGTATCATTAAGAATCTTGGAGGATAGGGGCACTCAGTCCCCCTAAAATTTTACAGGCTGTGCGTTCAATCGGCTTGCTTTAGTGTGTAATAATAACATGTTCTAAATGGCAAAAAATAATAATGATAAGTCTGAAATAAAATGAAATATATAGATAAATACTTAACAAGAAAACGTCTGTGGATGGGGACAGCACTTAGCTCCTAGCACATTTTTTAGGTGGAAGGAAAGGGGACCTTAGCATCCCCACCCTTAAGTATTGCAAAGTGGGGAAGGGGGGAGGCGTTGTCGCCAATATAGCATAGATGATGCCGGGGGGGGGAGGGGGTGCGTTGTCGCCAATATAGCATAGATGTTGCCAGGGGGTGGGGGGGGGGTGCGTTGTCGCCAATATAGCACATATGTTACCGGGGTGGGGGGGGGGAGGGTGCGTTGTCGCCAATATAGCACAGAATTTGCCGGGGGTGGGGCGTTGTCGCCAATATAGCACAGATGTTACCGAGGGGGGGGGGTGAGTTGTCGCCAATATAGCACATAATTTGCGGGGGGAGCGTTGTCGCCAATATAGCACAAATGTTGCCGGGGGGGGGGGGGGGGGGGGGGTCGCCGTCGTCTATATAGCACATATGTTGCGGGGGGGGGGGGGGACGCCTACATAGCCTATATGTTGCGGCTGACGCAGACAATGTCTTCAGAGGCTGACTGTTGCAATAGAGCACTGGTGACACATTTGTTCTGTTTTATTTTCAAATCTAAGCGAGTCCTAGTAATGTGCACGTAGAGGCGTTAATGTCCAATCATGCCACATTTGCTCGCTTTGAACCTTTTGCGATACCAACTGAACTGTGTTGATTCAAGAAAGGATATCTCAGCATTCGGGGCATTTACATAAGCACCCCGTCCCCGTTGTCAACAGCCGGGGTAGAGTTCTAATAGAATGGTGCCAGTAGCAGTCTGATTATATGTCCGTCTCGCCTTTCCTCTGAGCGTCGAGTATCGGCCAGATCCCTTCGTCACTTCTCGCTGCAGCGCTCTCACCAGACTGTGATGATCCATTTGCTGTTCTGAATTGTACACGAGTTTCCATAAGGTCTTAATCACACCTTACAGACTGAGAATCAGACAGGGCAGTCCCTATGCATTTCGGCTTTCCACCACAGAGCTGTGCCCTTGAATATCTGACACGGATGATAGTTTTCAGACAGCAGAATGCGTACAAGCGTGGAGCAGACGATAAGCTCGCCGAGTACCCTTTGGTCTATAAATGAAGCTCTAGCATCATATGCCCAAACTGCCTGTAACATGTAAAGTGACCTTATACCACATCTCCGTGTGTACCTTTCGCCTTGGCATGATCGTAGATAGTAAAACTAACCAATAAATATCACTTTTTGCAAGAGCTATCCCTGTTCCGTGTGTTCTCTGTAGGGCAAATTGCTTATTCAAGAAGTTGTCAAATTGTACACCTGGGAAACCAGTAGATGGCCCAACACACGCGATTTTAGAAAACCTTTTTTCAGTCTCGTCTGACATGCTTATTTAAAAGCATTGAGTATATACACTGTCTCAACTCCGCAAAACATGCAGCGCGGGAGGGGGAAGGGACCTGGGGGGCCAAACCAGGGCTGCTTCCGACTGTAGTGCAAGGGTTTTCCAATCACACTTGTGTTTGTGCTGGGTAGTTTGGACGTGGGGTCTTTCCACCGCCCCAGTTACGCCCCAGTGCATAAGTGGGGTGGAAAGGTGGCATGCTCTGCCTTATTTCCTTATGCATACATTAACCTAACGAACCTGGCAACGTTGTGCACAGAAAGGGCACACAACTCCACTGTGGAGTTTCATTGCATGGCCTTGACCTATCATGTAATTCTGCTTTAGAACCCTAGCGCCCCCCCCCCCCCCCTCACCCCAACCCCTGCCAATAATTGTCTAGGGTGCTTAACCCTTGTTTGCTTGATGGATGTCTTTGATTCATAATGTGGTAGTTGTTCCAACCTTGATGGCGTCAGCTTAGGCCGAAGTCTGCCAGAAGTCTTGACTTACCCATCCATGTATGCAGGCCTGCACAACGCCCACGACTCCAATGATCACAATGGGTAAGCCCACCATCAACCAGCCTATACTCTCAGCCCACACTGGGAATGTTTTGCCATTATATGATGACGGCTGGTACTGAATCGCCGACACGATGATGATAAACTGCGGGCAGAGAAACACACGTGTCCACTAGCAACTCCTGTGTATCATACCATAAATACGTGTGTACACTCACAAAAGCCATTGTAACATATTAGAAAGACAAGCCTGCACTCACAAAGGCAATTGTAACATATTAGAAAGACACATGTACAGTCACAAAAGCCGTTGTAACATATTAGAAAGACAAGCCTGCACTCACAAAGGCAATTGTAACATATTAGAAAGACACCTGTACACTCACAAAAGCCGTTGTAACATATTAGAAAGACAAGCCTGCACTCACAAAGGCAATTGTAACATATTCGAAAGACACCTGTACAGTCACAAAGCAATTGTAACATATTCGAAAGACACCTGTACAGTCACAAAGCAATTGTAAAATTAGAAAGACACATGCATCTGTAACAATTCTTCTGTAACATATCTGTCAGAAAGACACATGCATCTGTAACAATTCTTCTGTAACATATCTGTCAGAAAGACACATGCGTTTCTAACAATTATTTTTTAACATATCTGTCAGAAAAACACATGCGTTTCTAACAATTCTTCTGTAACATATCTGTCAGAAAGACACATGCGTCTGTAATAACTATTCTGTAACATATCTGTCAGAAAGACATGCATCTGTAACAATACTTCTGTAACATATATGTCAGAAAGACACATTCGTCGTAACAATTCTTCTGTAACATATCTGTCAGAAAGACACATGCGTCTGTAATAACTATTCTGTAACATATCTGAAGAGGAAAAAAAAGATGTACACAGTGAAATCCCTCTTGCATACGTTCTAGGGGACAGAAGTGGCCGGTGGGGTAGTCGGCTAGAATCCTCTTCTTCTTCGCATCTTCTGTCAGAAAACTTATACCAGGAGGCTGGTAGCCTTTACGAAAGCTATCGTGCAGTCCATATCTTCTCGTGTACCATACGGTTTTATCTTTGTTGTGGTTGGAACAGGCCAGATTGCGTCTCTCTCGGCAGTATACAGTTGACAGTGTTGGAGCACAGGCCCAGCATTTTCGGGTGCCACGCTGCAGGGAAATGTCTCCGTGTTTCCTACACCGACAAGTTTGAACATATGTTGACGAAGTCTGTTGTGCTCTGTCCTTAGTCTGAATATAATACACTGCAACTGTGGGGTGACCCGTTTGCTATGAAGCTGAAACTAGGATAACCAGATTACCTCTCTAGAGAGTCGATGAAACAAGTCTTGAGGAAAAAATTGTGTGTTACTTTGTCAGATGACACAGAGTACTGAAGAGTCACTGTTAGATGACACAGTGTACTGAAGAGTCACTGTTAGACGATACATAGTACTAGAGTCACTGTTAGATGATACATAGTACTAGAGTCACTGTTAGATGATACATAGTACTAGAGTCACTGTTAGATGATACATAGTACTAGAGTCACTGTTAGATGATACATAGTACTAGAGTCACTGTTAGATGACACAGAGTATTAGTGAGTCACTGTTAGATGACACAGTGTACTGAAGAGTCACTGTTTGATGATACATAGTACTAGAGTCACTGTTAGATGATACAGTGTACTGAAGAGTCACTGTTAGATGATACATAGTACTAGAGTCACTGTTAGATGACACAGTGTACTGAAGAGTCACTGTTAGATGACACAGAGTACTAGTGAGTCACTGTTAGATGACACAATGTACTGAAGAGTCACTGTTAGATGATACATAGTACTAGAGTCACTGTTAGATGATACATAGTACTAGAGTCACTGTTAGATGATACATAGTACTAGAGTCACTGTTAGATGATACATAGTACTAGAGTCACTGTTAGATGATACATAGTACTAGAGTCACTGTTAGATGACACAGAGTACTAGAGTCACTGTTAGATGACACAGAGTATTAGTGAGCCACTGTTAGAT